AACAAAAGAAAATCAAAAGGAAATGATAGAGATAATACACTCCATGTCTCTACCAAAATGTCGCCATGCGCATACGATGCTTCTCGTGGATAGAAAATTTTCGGGTTTTTCCGGGGTCGGGGTCGGGATCACTGAGGAAAAAGCCTCGGAATCGGGGCCGGGGTCATGTAAAAGAAAAACTTCGGGCTTCGGGGAGGGTTTCGGGGCTACAAAATTGGACCCCGCTGATCTCTAATGACAATGTAGCAAAATATTGAGGAAGTACCTGAGGAAGAAAAGTTACTACGTTTTCTTTTCGCATTATACCCGCACAGACCGCTCTCTTGAGACTCATATGTACAGATCACTCACGTGAGAACAAGTGATCCAATATTTATTACGTTCGCGAATGTATGCTAATGACAGACTTAAGAATGACCAATTCTCTATTACCATGCAGACTGCTGAATTGTTGAGAAGAGCTAGAGAATGGGTTCCAGCCTCAGAGTTAGACTGGTTTCGTGACGTAGCGGTTTGACATATTGTTCAACATTAAAAAGAAGATTGATATATGTTAAATTACTCAAAATTAACTACGATTGCACGCATTTGTAGCCTAGAGTATTTTGAACAACTTTTGTACCAAGGATGTGTCATAATTTTAAACTTTGGATAGCGTGAAATACTTTTTTTCTGAATGTCTTGAAAATTCCGTGTATTTGAATGAGTCCGTTCGCATTAGGAGACAAAAAATACAGAAACGTTCGAAAAAAGTCATGCTCTTAATGCAAACGGAGTATATAGTTCACTTATATTTGTCATATCTCACGATAGGCTCAATAGTTTTTAAAAATTATTAGATGAACAGATTACTGAGAATTCAGGGAACATTTTTGCCAGCAATAGGTTAAGTCGATTTTGACTTTTTCCCACTTGAAACAGTATTTTTTTCCCATTCTGTAAAAAAACACGTGTATTTGAATGGACCGTTCGCATTAGGGAATAAAAGAAAGAGAAACGTTCGCAATAAGATAAGTCACTTAATCCGAACGAAATAAACATCTGTATAATAAAACGGTTAGTATACATAAACGAAAGCACATTTCTGCAATTTTTTTACAGATCGGTTGTCCTACTGATGGAGAGCTTCGCATTTTAATAATTTTTGATTTCGTTAAGAAATAATGGAGTTACATGAACTTTACTCCACTTGAAAATTTTTCCGTCCGCATTAGGAACTTTCGCTCTATCTCTCTCTTTTCACTTCTTGGCAGCAAATGTCTAAGGAATATAGACATTTGCTGCCAAGAAGTGCAAAGAGAGAGATATTCCTTATTTGATACGGCTCTAATGTATACGTTGTAGTCATAATTCAAATTCAGTCCAGTTTTAAATTGGACTAGTCATAATTCTAATTGGAATTGTGACTAGGCATAATTCAAATTGGAAGTATGACTGAAGAATAGGGATGTTACAAATAGGATGAGTGAATAAAATGATCACTTATTCACATAGTCATTTTTGCGTTTTGCGTTCTATCACCTATTCTATATTTCTAGAACGCAAAAATGACTATATGAATAAAAAAGTGTATAAAATAAAAGCGAAAGTGTTCACGTAACATACTTACATGCCATTTTTGATAAATCTTTCGCATTCCATGAACACAAAATCATTCGATGTGAATTAGGATCAGTTTTTATTAGATGAATTAGTTCTTTTAGTTGATCGATGGCTTGACCACTATAATCAGTTTAGATGTTATAATCAATCAAGATAATTAGCACCAAAATGACGCCATTGAAAATCTGAAAGAACAGACTTTAACGCGTTATTAACGCAACGAAAAAATCTCGTGGAATTCTGATACGAAGAGGCAAAAATCCTAAAAAATAAAAATGTACTTCTTAGAATTCTCATTTTCAGATGTTCACTTTGAATAGTAGAGAAAATATTCCAAATACTACAGGTTCAGTTGTGAATAAAGAAGAATTTCAATATTTAAATTTAATTCGTGATATCATCGAAAATGGTTCGGATAAAGAAGATCGTACCGGTGTCGGTACAAAGTCTATATTTGGACCGCCAAATATGAAATTTAACTTGAGACAAGGCAGATTTCCATTATTAACAACAAAGCGAGTATTTTGGAGAGGTGTAGTAGAAGAATTGTTATGGATTATTAGTGGTAGTACGGATTCAAAATTATTAGCACAAAAAAATGTCACAATATGGAATGAAAATGGATCAAAAGCATTTCTAGACAAATTAGGTTTTATCGACAGAGAAGAAGGTGATCTGGGACCAGTTTATGGTAAGATTCTTTTCATTTAATTATGTTTTACGTTGTGTAAAAAGTCTTGAAAATAGTTTAAATTAACTGAAGAAGAATCTTGTCAAAAAATTTATAATTTTTACAGATTATCTGTTTCAGGTTTCCAATGGCGTCATTTTGGTGCTGATTATCTTGATTGCAAAACTGATTATAGTGGTCAAGGCATCGATCAACTAAAAGAACTAATTCATCTAATAAAAACTGATCCTAATTCACGTCGAATGATTTTGTGTTCATGGAATGCGAAAGATTTATCAAAAATGGCATTACCACCATGTAAGTATTTTACGTGAACACTTTTGCTTTTATTTTAATGTATTGATATTCCTGATGTTTAGGTCATGTTTTGTGTCACTTTAATGTAACGAATGGTGAATTATCTTGTATATTATATCAACGTTCGTGTGATTTAGGTTTAGGTGTACCATTTAATATTGCTTCTTATTCTTTGTTAACTTATATGATAGCTCATGTATGTAAGTTAAATGTAGGAGACTTTTGTTATTGTTTGGGTGATGCACATGTCTACAAAAATCATATTGAACCATTGAAAGAACAAATTGAACGACAGCCAAGGCAATTTCCACAATTAAAAATTATTCGACAAGTGGAAACAATTAATGATTTTCAATTTGAAGATTTTCAATTGGAAAATTATGAACCATATGGACCAATCAAAATGAAAATGGCTGTATAGGACATACAATTTGGACAATTTGTCTGCAAATCTTGACAATCAAATCTTACGGTAGATTTCATACTTTAGATTCATTTTTGAAAAATATTCATCTGTAACAAATTTATATGACGTCATTTGTAAGTGATCTACCATTTATTTTCATATGTTTTTTTCTTTCTCTTGTGTACATCACTCTAATAAAATAGAACTAATTTTTTTTGTAATGAAATAAAAAAGTCAGATTTTTCTTAATCGATTAACACAGTTAAAAATCATTGTTCAGTTTGGTGATCTACTGAATTCTCGATGTATGTGTCAAAAACAATAGTAGTTTGAATCCCAAGTCCTACATTTACGTCTAACCAGATGATGTTAAGCGTCATCATTGAACTATGAATTGAAAATTACAGTACGTTTTTATTAAATTTAGACGTTCCTTCTTTCTCAACATCAATTTAATGACATATGAAATCAGCGAACACGTTCGATCATGGAAGCGTGAAATATGTGAGAGCACATCTTGATCTTTTTAGTCATGTATTTAACAGAGACAAATGAAATACATTGTGACAGTACTGGAAAAAATTAGTCTACCTTTACTTTTCTTCTGTTTTTATTAAAAATGGTAGTTTTACATAAAATTTCAGAAAAATCTTTAAAAATCTCGTTTATTTTTTGGGTCAAACTTAGATAAATGAGTATGTTTGTTTAGTTTTCTAGGCATTTCCATCGGTGTACTTGGATGTCTTATTACTTGCTTTAATTTGATAGATCTCAAACTTCAAAAAAAATTGATGTGTTTGAGTTTTTAAATTTGTGTATAAAAATCACGAAAACAAAATTTTTTGAGAATTATTTTATCGGAATAGAGTCGAAACAGTTCTTTATAGAACCTGAAAACTAAAAAAACTTTAACGACTAAACTATCATCAGACTTGTTCTACTGAATACCAGTCTGAAGACTCATGATTTTATGTTTATGATTTTGTGTTTGTAATGAAAAACATTTATGCAAGATATTTTCATTTATTTGGTTGTTTACTTGCGTTTACGTAGTGCGTTCAAAAAGTTCTCGGACTGATTTTATTTTACAAAACGAAAAGGGTTGTAATGCAGGACTTGTTACCACTTTGTAGTTCATACAGTCCTTAATCTAAAGACATTACTGGTTGATTAGACATTTTTTATAATAACAATTTATTTTAGATCCCCCGGGAAGAAATTTTGGACCTCCGCACGTCTTTCTAATCTATTAAAAGTTCTCATAAATCAGTTTCTTGCGATGAAATTAGGCATTCGAGCGCATAAAAGAGAAAATTTCGCACTCCTAATACGTGGGAACGCATTAGAAGAACAAAAATGATCTAAAAATCGTACGTCGAAATAGTGCGGAAGGCTTATCATGCGATAAAGTAGCATTTGACACCAAAAATCTGTCTGAACGCATTATTTTGTCTAAAAACGGGTAAAACTAAGCTTCCAAATGCTTAGAATGTGTCAAAAGAAGATTTCGAAGCCTGCAGATATTAGTTCGCATTAGAAAATTCGAAGACGTTAAAATGAAGGTTTTTAATGCGTTTGAAGTCGTGCAATGTCATTACGAACGGTTTTACATACATAAAAAATTGGCGAACGCCCACAAACAGTGAATATTTGTCATGCATTTGCAACCAACAGTCCCACATACGTTACACAATCTGAAAACGTTTCGGTGACTGTTTCTGTTACGAACAGCCTTCTTAACCCTTTCGGGACGGGTGGTACACCGTATATACCACAGTCTTTCGTTCTGTTGTGACATGTCGAAGCATATGTTTTCTTGCCTTTTTCTATAGAACATACATATTTTTCAATTTTTACTCTTTCCTCTTCTTATGGTATCTTCTAGTAAATTCGAAGGTGTATTGATTGTATGCAGCTCAACTGTCAAGCGACCAAAAAAACAATCTCGTACCCGATACGAATGTTCAGACTGTAATGTAGGCTTGTGCATCCCGAATTGTTTTCGCGACTATCACACTCTAAAGTCATATTAATAAACTGGGCTGAAAACTAGAATCAATTGATTCTTAAAAACTAATTTTTGTACCTTTTTTCAAAAAAAACTTCCCCGTCCTGAAAGGGTTAATACGTTTCCTCTTCGAAACACAAAGTGTGCTGCCATAGTCTATAAATAAAAAATCATGCAAAATTGTATTAATGATTATATTAAGAACAACGACAGGCATTGAAAAAATATTTATAGAATGAGGTTCTTGATCTCACTGGTCTTCCTTCTTCTAATAGTATCAGCGATCTTCATCCCTCACCAAAAGCTAGGTGACCGTTCCTGACAGTTTCTTGTTTAGGGTGGTCATCTTCAGGATACAAACTTCCTTTACATTTCGCATAAGGCATACATCACCGCTCATATGACTTTCAGAGTTTTATTGCGCTTAGAAAACTTTTTCAAAATAACCCTTTATATTTCTCCATGTTCATACAACGAGAACATGGAGAAATCCTCTTCGTGCCCTTCGTCATATTTCGGAGTACGTGCATCGGCTTTCCAAAGCACATTAGCTCATGAGTGAAACAATTCTCTAAATCTTTTTCTAATGAACTTTGTATCTATAATGTGAAATAGAGATATAAAATGGAAAATACATTTTGAAGAAAAGCCCATTACTTTTGGTAGATGCGTTCCGTTTACTTCATAGCAAACGGTCTAATTTCCCACTTGTGGGAAATAGGTACGCACAGAATTTTTTTTGAAATTAGAGTCTCATATGTGGCGGACTAACTATCTTGAGATCTTATGGTACATCAGACTTTTAATCTAAATAGATGGATAGAGGTGAATGTCTACCGTGTGTTTCAATATATCTGAAAGCACGATTACCAAAGTCAAAATACATTTGTGAAAGAATTTTGTGTGTTTTGGTAAATGCGTTCCATTTACCCCATATAAACACGGCAAAAATTCTAATTTTCCATTTGCGGGAAATAAGAACGTTTCAGACCTTCTCACAGTAAAACTGTCCCAATCCTTTTGCTTGTGAGATTTTCGATTGATTTTTGCACCATTCTGTGCCTACTACCATCATCTACAACTTTTGCACTGAAAGTTTTGTGAAAACTTCTAAGCTTTCAGAGTTACGAGAAAAATACCACAGAACTTTTTGATCGCATTCCTCGCACCCTCACCCAAAAAAGCCTGTGAACAATTACTATCTGAATAACAAAGAAAAGACGCAGTTTCCTACGTAGTTTAATACCGTCCTTTACGTTTACTTTTTATTAAAAATACATGAAGATCTAAAATAGCCAACAATCAACAGGATGTCACTTTGAATTACTGAAAAAATATGAAAATGAAGACGGTAAGAATGATATTCTAAGATCGAAAACATCAAGATCCCACATGTCAGATCAGTGATAAAGATAAGATACCTAATGTCAATTTGTACAATCTTCTAAATAGTTTTTATATAATGGATAAGATATCAAAACATTAGTTATACAAATAACAGTAATTTGAAAAAACAACAACAGAATAAAACCATTCTCTAATATTGAAATGCCAATTTTATTAAACCTTTTGCAAATAAAAATATTTCTTGTCCACCTAATTTCGATTCACCATATAAACGATCAACAAATATAATTGGAATTTGAGCAATTTTTTTTTCCATTTTTGTTGCACGTACAATCATTTCCATTTGAAATACATAACCTTTCGATTGACATTTTTGAATAAGTTCTTGTAATAATTCTTTTCGATAAAGACGAAATGAGCCAGTTACATCAGAAACAGGTGGTCGTAAACAAATTTGTGTTAAAAGATTAGCACCACTTGATATAATTTTACGTTTTAAATCCCAACCAGCTACACCACCACCTGCCATATAACGACTACCTACAATAACAATAACATGATTATATAACTATGATGATTAAAAATTATTTAGCAACAATCTTACCTGTGACAATATCATAATTTCGTTCTTTTTGTTTTCTAATAAATTCTGGTATATATTTTGGATGATGTGATAAATCTGCGTCCATAATAATTATAAAATTTCCACGTGCATATTTCATTCCGTGAATGTAAGCTGAACCGAGACCCAATTTTCCACTACGTGGTTTAAGTACAATTTTTTCCGGGCCAAAAAGTGCTTGTAATTCTCGTCCAACTGCAAGTGTTCCATCTGGTGAATTATCATCAATCACAATTATTTCATATACAATCGACGGTAATTCATTAGACATATATTCATCGATTAATGCAACAACAATTGGTAGATTTTCACGTTCATTATAAGTAGGTAATAATATGGTAAATTCAGGAGAAGTGGACATTATTAATATAGAAAGAGAAAATTTATATGACTCTAAAATCAGAGAAAACACAGATTAAAAAAAGTCAAGAATAATACATAGAACTATGGATTGTCACACAAGATCCCAATTTTCTGAGTCTATTTCTATTCAATCAAATACGATACATAGTTTAGAGAAAAACTAAGATGCGCGTAATTCGAATTTCAAGTATTATTTTTTTTTTTCATCTTATTTAGATAGCATTCGATAGAGCTCGTCAAGTTGATCAAGAATAACCGGATTTTAGCTTTTCAAACATGAGTTTTAACGGAGAAATTTTGAATATACTAGAAGAGTTTTAAATTTCGAAAAATCGAACGTTTATGGAATAGAAATATCATATTCGGAATCAGGATCAAAAGCTGAGTCGCCTAATGTGTATTTTTATTCTATTCGACTACTTTAGTTTTTTGTCGAATTTTCACGTTGAAAAATTATCGAGATTTTCACCAAAAAATGAAAATCAAGTAAAAATTTCGAAATATACATTAGTCGACTCAACTTTTGATTCTGGTGCCGAATATGATATTTCTGTTGCATAAAAGTTGAGTTATGATTGAGAATTATGAGCAGAATTCTGACTTTTTCGTCTCTGATTTAAACAAAATAAATTTTTTCACAAGCGGAAAGGCATTTCAAAAAAAGGGCTTTATACTTTTATTGCTCATGCAAAGACGAATGGAAAACAGTGCAAACGAATGTTCTGTCTTTTAACAAAAACCCTAGATAGGTTTACAAAATCTGTTGGCGCCCTTTAAGGTATCCTTGACTCTTAATTTCTAAATTGACAATATTCTACAGGATCGAATTCTAAACGACATCAGTTCCAAACGAGTCAGTTTCATATGCTGAATCAGAAAAGTAAGTTTAGAAATTTTAAAATGAAATCGAAAGAAAATTTTTGATATTTTTTTCAGTCGAACGATTTTTCGAAGTTTAAAGCCCTTCTAGCATTTTCGAAATTTCTCCGTCAAAGCTCGTGTTTGGAAAGCTAAAAGCTAATTATTCTTGATCAACTCGATTGAAGTCTGTCGAATGACGTATAAATAAGACGAAAAAAAAAAGTACTTGAAATTCGAATTACGCGCGCCTTACATTTGTATAGATATTTTACATCTACCAAAATATCTAAATTGAATCATTAATCATCTTATTATCCGTGTTTTTTGCCAAAAAAACAGATACGGAATTGCAAATACGCAATATGAATAATAACTGTCTTCAAAACACTGTTATCAACTAAAACAGATATTTCGTTGTTTTCAGCTTTTTTGTACTATCTCATCTACACAATGAGAATTGATTGAAATTCATTTTAGTTTATAAATTATACGTGTGCTGTAGATTCAAGTTCAATATTAGATTTTCCCCTTTATGTTCCCCTATGTGTACTATATCAATGTTGGATGCACAGAAATACTTAAATCGTTCTGGATCTCACCATAAATTTTCAAAAATTCAACGTTTTTCACGTAAAGTCCTTTCATCCGACAGGTATTTTCAATCAAAACAAATAATATATTCGAAATCAAATCCTTCAACTGCATCGAATGAGTGTCACACAAAAAAAAATTTGAAAATCAAAAATGTTTGCTTTTCGTTGAAATACGGTATGGAGAGACAAACTAAACTAAAATTATTTTCAAGAAAATAAATCAGTTTTAATACAAGTACTACTATCTTACTTCAAAAATCATTGTAACGCCCTTAATGATATATCATTTTCATCATTTTCATATATTTAAGTTTTGAATACATATCAAGCAAGGAACAATGTAAGTGCAAAAAACGATCGACACTCGCATTGTGACTTCACAATAAAGCTTCATGTTTCAGAGTTTTTAATAGATCATACGATTTAATGACAATTGTAAACGTTATGCAGTCAAATGATGTAACATAACTTTTAGCTTTCAACACTTGTTTCTATGTTTTGCAATTTTCAAAAAGTGCGTAACAAATAATAATTGCATCATAGTGTATAATTTGATTGAATATTGATTTTTCGTGCCTCCATCTTATAAACATGTTAATAATGTTTGTATAGACAGTTGGGACTAATGATAATTATTCATCAACTTATAACCATCTCTGCTCATTAACTTAAATGATTTTAAATCGTCAGAATTATGTCTGTTACTGATCGGGTCTTTCATTGTGTATCCTCGATATTGTTGAATAACTTCGCATTGATAAGGAAACATTTTATTGGTTGATGGTCGACGAAGTATCTGGTTTAAAATAATTTTTGAAACATTTTTAAAAGAGACGGATCTAAAACAGGGAGATAAAGGGCAGAAAAACTCTGATCGATGTGTTATGAAGATCAATGACTACGATATTGTAGTTTACTGAAAGGGGAGAATTTACATACTAGAGCCTTTCTATGATCTATATTTCAAATAGACTATGAATACACGATACGGATTAATATCATATAACGCTCAGTCTTTTCTTTTTAGGAAGCGATGCTCATTTTCAGTCTGTCCAATCCATCATAGGTTTTATATATTAATAAAATATACACAAATACATATATATATATCTATATATATTCATCAGGACTGGTGGTAAAAACACAAACAGATATAATGAAAATAAAACACATAAACATACAAGAAATAAATAAGTCACTCATGTTAACCAAAATAAAGGTGCTCAAATAAATAATTTGATACGTATAGATAAAAAGAAGCAGCAGCACTTCTTCCAGATTTTAAGAGAAAAACAGATACGTAAAAAAAATCGATTGTGGTCCCTATATGATTAAGACAAAATTGGAATTGACAAAAAAATGCACAATGTTTTTATTTTACTTAACTGGAAATAGATTTACACATGATCAAAAACATGAGCTTCGGAACAGAGAAAAAAAGAATAACAACGATAATACCTTCGCATGTATATCGATTACCATTCAAAATAAACTACAACATCGACTTCTCTTAGCCTAGAAAGTAGAAAAAACAGTATGTTAAACGCTTGTATTGTACATCAAAAGCACAACTTCTTGACCAGTGTCTGCAATCTTTACTTCCAAATATGAACAGCTTTTTTTTTGCCTCATCCTTTTATCGATAGCAGAACAAAAATTAGCTGTCGTATTAAATAAACTACTTTTTAAGAAAACTCTTTGTTTATAATTCACACTCCACCATAATCTTAAGATAAGATACATACTGTTTTATAGAACGCTTTTGCTTCGAAACTCAAATCATTTGATCGTGCCACTAAATCATCGATTTTTTCTCCACGTTCCAACACATTGACAAGAGTATTTTTCTAAAGAACACAAAGCTAAATGTATATTTTCTATTTAGATGAAACGAAAGAGACAATTAGATACAAGAATATTTTTTGTATCGTCAAGATCATTTTGTAAGCGCATCAATGGATCAGCTTGTGATGGTGCCTAAAATTGAATAAAAACATTGATTAACAGCAGAAAGAGACGAGAATAAATCACTCACCTGATATTTTATTAAAGTTTCGTTCAATGTTGTCATCTTGGCAGATCTAAACAGAAAAAATGTAGCAAAGTGGTGGTTTTTAACACTTAAAATACACGCACTCCTCGGCTATAGCGGACCAACTGGATGCTGGATACATCTGATTAAATTCATCCATGATCTGAAAAATAGACAAAGCAGATGAATGTTGGAAATAAATAAAGATCAGAAAAGCGACGAGTGAAATTATCACAGCCTTTATGCTCGGTTTTTTCTTCAAATACACACAAAGGATCAAAAGATCACTGCATCGTTCTACACGACATTTTCTCCGATAGAGAAAAGCATTCACCGACGTTTTTATAGTTCGTTTGTGAGATAAAATGTTTTCCACTACATACCTTCGTTAAGAGAGTATGTGCGACGCGCATGGGATATTCAGAATCTGATATAATCACCGATGATAAACCGTCGGATCGAACGTAAACATGAACCATAGCTAAAACGAAACAAATCGATTTTAGACTGGGTCTCTCACTACGCTATCGCTTTCTTTTCTTACCGTCAACATTTTCTGCTTCAACTGACTGTCTTGTGCCAGCTGCTGTTCTTTCCGTTACCGTTCTGGCAGAAAATATAAGTAATTGTTTAACACTAAGAAAAAAAAATAATTCAAGAAGATCAGACAAGAAGATATTTTCCATTTACTCTTACCCATTTCGTTGAAAATATCCAAAACTATCTAAATTAAATTCATCTTGTAGAATTTTTGTTTTTCTATCTCCTTCTTTATGTAAAATGAACATAGCCAATAACTTCATGGTTGAAAAGGATAAACAGTAGCGTTAAAGTGTTTTTAAATTCGAGTGGATATTTTCAGAAATCTAAAATAAACACAAAAATAACTTCGATCATCTATCATTTTCTAATCATTATATCAAAATGCACCTATTGACTAATTTAGTCACGCATACAAATGACGAAGCCACAAATGGCTTCGGTTGAAGTGTGTACACTATTTCATTGAGAACTTTGCTTCAAACTGAAATATATTGAAGCGTGTCTCAACCATGAATCATTCATGAGTTGTCTTGTATGATGAATCCGTTTCATTATAGTTACTTCTGTAGCTGGAGTCCCCCTTTTACGAACTGTAATGCATGGAAGAACTGCAGCTAAAAATGTCTTTTAATTCAAAACTGCAGTTGCTTATGAACACAATTATCAAGGATTTCATGGGGGCATACTTACAAAAAAAGGTGGAAAGTATAGCTAAGAATCAATAGCTACACCTATCGTTAATGAGTAAACATACGTAGCTATCGATGTTCGAACGCCCTTGGTCTATTTGCTCTAGTTCAACAATAGCATAACAACATAATCAAATGAAATGAACTGCTGACGTCAACTGTCAATGCCTAACAGTGATTCATCGAATTTAATCTCAATCCAATGAGATAACACAATAGCTTAAACATTTTAGATTGTATCTTTCGAGAAATTGAGGCTATAACATACTTGGTATGTGATTCTTCTTCTAAAAATCTATAAACAAAAGCAACTACAGAGCGCCTTGACGCCATCTGTGATAGAAGATAGCGACATTCTGTCTACGATGAGGAAGCACTCGTACAAAACTAATGACAACTAATAAACGCTAACAATATTTGAGAAAACTTTTGTTTCGTTAAACAACTGAAGGTCAAAACTATCTAGCTGTGCAGGACTATTTTTCGAAGATCAAGAATGACTCCATATGGAGTAAAACACTCTAGAATATATTTTCACACAGCTTGTACGAGTATTAAAAAAAATCCATTTAAACTTATAGAATCAAATAAGAACCTTGCAGAAATCTTAAAAGAATCTTATGCTACAGTCGATAGAAATGCATACCGTGCTTATAAGATTCTTATGTAAGAAACTTATAAAATTCCTATAAAAATTTATACGATTCTTATAGTCAAAGATAAAAAAAAACTTTTTTTTGTTGCTGGGAGCACGAGGGCAAAGTTTTGAACTTTGAAATTTTTGAACATTTTTTATACGGCATTATAAGGTTATAAAAATCTTATAAAATCTTACCGAAATCTTATTCAATTCTTATAAGATTTTTATATTGCGAATTATAACAATCTTATAATTACAGCATGCATTTCTCTCGACTGGAGCATATAAGATTATCATAAAATTTCTACAAGATTCGTATCTGATTTCCGTACTTTCGGTCGCCTAGGGATTGCCGGCAAGCACATCGACAGATTATGACTCATCGTACCCGATGACTGATCGTAATTTGCCACGTCTTGTGTTCTTTTCACTATTTTGACTAATATGAATACCAGGTGAAAATCATCTTACAAGATTATGTAAGATCCGTCGTTTTCTTATGAAACCTTGTGGCAAGATCATTTTGTAAGCGCATCAATGGATCAGCTTGTGATGGTGCCTAAAATTGAATAAAAACATTGATTAACAGCAGAAAGAGACGAGAATAAATCACTCACCTGATATTTTATTAAAGTTTCGT